CGAAGGCAGACGCTTAACCATCTGAGCCACCCAGGCGCCCAACTATGGGGGCTTTTAAAATATCTCTGTGCATGTCGTTAGGGCTGGGCTTTAGGTATGTATGCTTACCAACCTAAATGGATTCTCATAAAGTGGGCCTAGTGGTCCTCCACCTTATTGCACGCAGAACTGACCCAAGAAGCTTTCATAGCTACTGATACTTTCAGTCACACCTGTAGAGATTTTTATTTCACTGGTCTGTGATATGATCTTGGCATCAGTATTCTTTAAAGCTTTTCAGTTGATCCTGCTGCGCAGTCATCAACTCTTTGGTCATCCTTGTGCAGGGGCCACGCCAATCTTCTCTGTATTGTTCCAATTTTGGTGTATGTGCTGCCGAAGTGAGCACCACAGAGCTGTACTCAAGGTAGACCTCTGACTAGTGTTTGCAGATGGGTTTGGATGGATGTGAAGATCTTTTTTCTTAACTTTGCTAAGAATCCATCATTTCACATTTATTAGACATGCGTCCGTGGAATATGGCATTTAGGTTATGGAAAACCCTGGTTATCTTAGGTCATGTTCAAGTTGTTACTTCTGGGTCCCAGTATTCAAACTTACTTATTTTGAGAATGCTGCATGGGGACCTTAAACTACTCTGAAAAACATTTGCAGCCTAATAGAAATCATGATTTAACTCACAACCTTCTCATAAAAAATCAAGATGTAATCGGAGCATATTAAATAACTCTATTTTTAGAGCAACTGAAGTAATGTCCTAAGACCATATTGAAGAGATGAGTCTGCCACTGCTTGTTTGAATGGAATTCAGTTAGAAGATTTGGGTTTGTGCACTTGAGGCTTTAAGATTCATTGATCATTCTATCACAAACTAATTTATATCCTACACTGGTGTAAGATAGGCACTCTTCTCTGCTATGGAGGATAGTAAACTTTAGAAGAAAATAAAATCCTTCTCTTTCAGTAATTTATAATCTTACTTGATGATAAAACTTAAATGTGAAACATAAGGTCGTCAACACCAAGTGCCTGCTGCTGTGAATTCAGAATAGCAAGGCTGATCTGTGTGCAAGGGGTAATTAGAGATGGCATGGATGGAATAGAGCTGTTGTGTGCAGTGTGGGTCACCTTTATAAGGACACCTGGAATGTGTGTTAAGAACTCAGATTCCTAGGACACACCCAGGCCTACTCAATCAGTCTCTGGGCTAGAGCCTGGGAATCTGCCCTTGAAACAGAGTTTTCAAACCTTTACTACGTACACAAAGCTTTGATGCAGTAGATGCAAAATAAGCTAGGCCTTATAAGATGGGTTGGAGTTAGGGAATAGTAATGAGTAGTTCACATGTATTGAAAGCTAGACACTTTTTTAAGTTTATTTTTTATTTTTATTTCTTAAAGATCTTATTTGAGAGAGAGAATCTTAAGCAGATTCTGCACTGAGCGTGGAGCCTGATGAGGGGCTCTGTCTCACGACCCTGAGATCATAACCTGAGCTGAAACCATGTCAGATGCTTAACCAACTGCACCAACCAGGTGCCCCTAGACACTGTTTCAAATGGTTTAAGTGTACTACCTCCTTTAAACTCCCCCAGAACAAACAAAAACTATGAGTCAAGTTTTGTTATTATCCCCATTTGATATATGAGGAAACTGAGGCACAGGGAACTTGAGCAGCTTGCTCAAAGTCACACAGCTACTCAGTGGCAGAGGCAAGACCTGGGGACAGGCAGTCTCTCTCCTGACCCTGTACTCCAAGTGAGTTTTTCTCTAAGCCAGAAGGAAGGAAGAACACATTAATTCTGACAAACTCATAGATTCATGTGAACACAGGGATGAATTACATATAAACAGAATTTATAAATGGTCTGAAAATAGTGAAGTTTCTGTTAAGAGCGGGTGAGAATTACAGTACAGTCCCAGGCACAAAAATAGAGTTTAGCCGACCCTGGGTTGTCACTGAGGGATGAAGGAAACATTATGAGGAGGTTGTATTTCAAGGACCTGATCCCATGTAAAACTTCCCAGGAGTACAGAGATTAGCAGGATTGCTGCAAAGGATCCTGAGTCCCAGGAATACTTAATAAGACCATCAGTTCTCGAGAGGCCGTTGCTCCCCATATGACCAGCTTTGATACATTTACAGTGGAATCAAGTGGGAGAACCCAGACTTTTGCTCCAAACCAGAACAATTCAATTAGGCACCCTTCCCTCTCTCGTTTGGAGCTGGAATCAGGTAAATTTATGGTAAAGAAAGTGAAATTTTCTTCAGAGGGTAGAAAATCAGTATTTTGGGGGTATCTTTGACTTGACCAAATATTCTTGTGGGCATTCTGGGCATCATCGTGGGAAACAGGGACTGGTGCAGGCAGAGCGGGAGCAGAGTCTTGACGATGTGAGGGGCCCAACTGCAACTGGTGACAGAAGTAGTACGAGGGCTTTGACAGCTGGACGAGCCCTGCTCGCTTCCTGTGCCGTGTAGCAGGCTGGAGCACGAGTCACAAAAGTAATTTCTGAACAGGCAAATGCACCGAAGGTGAGACAGAACCAATTAGCCTCGGCAGTATAGCAGACACATTAAAACCTTTAATGCATTGGTTTTCGGGGACCCTTCTTTCTTCTAAAATATTACCATTGATCTCTCAAATAAACCTATCTCAACACCGAAGAAAAAAGCTGTTAGAAAGTCCATATGAAATATGTAGCACATCAAACAGGAATTCGATAGTTAACATGACAGCTGGCATTGCTGATTGCTTGAACTTGTCTACTCCAGACTCATCAACAGGTGCTATGTGCGGCTGTATTTTGTTTTAAAACGTAAGGCCACAGATGACGAGAGGATTGCCATTGAGAAGACAGTTTGTGACTCCCAGTTTGCGAGAGGTGGGGGTACACCACTCCACACAGGGCCATCCATAGGAGGAAGCACCAGCGTGGGTCAGGAGGCAGAGAGAGCCAGGAGAAACATGGGCACGAACCTTCATTCTGGTCTTAGAGGGAAGGAATGGGTGAGGCAAGGTAAACTGGTTTAGGATTGAGTGAGTGAGTTATTTTCGGCAGGCCATAGGGCATAGAGCATGTTCCTAACTGCCTGATACCTGGTCCTGAGGTGTTTAGGGTGGGGGAATATGGATTCTCCAGTGTAAGAGCTCCGTAGAGGAGGGTTGGGGGTGGGCTTCAGGTTGGTTAGTTTGCATATGAAAAGTATGTTCCTAGAGCAAGTGTTTACCATAGGAATTAGCTAGGCCTGGAGGAAGCAGTCTCTCTCTAATCAGGGCTCCAGAAGTCATAACATCAGACAGGAAAAGAAGGTTAATACACACGTGGTGGATGCTTTATTTTAGGACCTAATACCAACAGTACAATTATTTGTTGAGAATGACTGAACCTAATGAACATCACAGTAGCAGTAGAACTTGGCTTTCTGCCTGGATTTGAATCAAGTTAGAGAAAGGACAGTTTTGTCCCATCTGCAGACTTGAGTGACAAAGCGTAGCTGACCACCTACCATCCACATTTCTTTCTGTTTCTTCACATGCAGTACTGTTGGAAGAACCTGGATAAACTCCAGATGTTGAATTTCATCCTGTATGCTCCAAGTTGTCACTGCTTGAGTTTCTTGATAATAAACATTTATTTCGAGTCCTAGAGCACTGATGTAGTATGGCTTTTTGTGTTCAAAATGCATTTTACTAACTTTAAAGCCCAAGTAGAGTTATGAAGGATCTAAGGGAGCCACTTAAGTTTTTTGTGTGATAATCAATAGTATTATAAGAGGAAAATTAAATGCCTAGACTATTTTTAAATTTCCAAATCTTCTGTTGTCCCGGGACGTATCCTCTGAGAATATCAAGTATCTATTATCTATACGTTTACTACCCAGTAACCTTAAGAATCATTTTATAAAACAGACAGCAAATACTGTAACGTGGGGTTCCCTTTTAGAAATCCTAATTTGAATTGTATTACAAAAGAAATAACTACTGTGTATAGAAAATATTGACATATAAAACAAATCCCACAGAAAATTACTTCCGAAAAATTTGAAATGTATAGTTTCAGGTATAAAACATTTTTAGAGAAAACTGAATCACTCCATGGGTGCTTCTATTTGTAACTTAGATATTTCATTTTGTAAGTTGTGAATATATTTTCACTTCTAAAAATAGTTAACTACATGACAATGGCTAGTACCTCATTATATCTTTACACTTAAGATTTATTTAAGCAATCCCTATTTTAGGGTGTTTCAGTTATTAAATATGTTGTTAATTTCTTTAGGTTAAACTATTAGGACTGGTAATGATGATTCAAAGAGAATTCATGTTTTCAGTTCTTTTAATACATAAGACAAAAATAACTCCTAGAGAAGTTGATAAAATTTACATTCTTCACAAGTATAGAAGTATCAATTTCATAGTCAAGAGGTTATTCGTTGTTTTCATTTACATTTCTTCCATCAGTTATATGCTCTACCATTTTTTTTATATGTCTATTGTTAGTGTGTATTAATTCTTTGAAATAATGCCTGTTTCTTTCACCTTCTGTCTTTGGTGGGTCTATAATTTTTTTTTAACTTATTTCCTAGAACTCACTGTGTTTATATAGCACACTGACTGGAGCAAATTCATCTGACGCCCTGCATCACATACCCTTGACTTACCTCTGATTTCAACCACAACTGTGGACAATAGTTCTCCACAAGGTCAGATTCTCTGACATGCACTTTATATCTTTTTACCTTCTTTTTTAGGGAATTCTCCTCACAGCCTTCTTGGATGGGAGGGGTTAATCCTTACCCAGTCGGGGATGAGAAGCAGTGGAGCAATGCTCCAGCCTCCTTATTCTGGGTGGTTAATTCTAGACAGCATGTTGTGTAGTTTTCAGAGGTCCTAGTGGGCTACCCTGGCATTCAGCGATGACCTTACTCTTTGTGTCCTCTTCCTATCCACTTCCACTTTTCCTTGCTCTCTCACTTCTCTTCCCTGGTATCACTTCATACATAAGCACTCAAGTCCTTGTCTCAGGCTCTGCGTTTAAGGGACTTGAAGTGAAGACATTAACTCTCTTCATTTAGGCACTGGTGTTTTAAATTTCTCTCCAGCTTGGGCCAACAGAATTGTCTTTTATCTAGATTGACCTTTCACATTTGTTGCTATTTTTCTCTAGGTCTCCAGCTGTTTTTGTTCTGTGCCAAGCCTATTCGTTTCCCCTTGTTGCTGTAACAAATTGCCACATATTTGGTGGTTTAAAACAACACAAATTTATTTTCTTATAATTCTGGAGGTCAGAAATCTAAAATGGGTCTTCCTGGGTTTAAAATACAAGTGTTGGCAGAGCTGTATTACTTTTTGGAGGCTCTAGGGGAAAATCCATTCCCTGCCTT